CCATTGAATAATCTGCATTAAGAAGCTAATAACTAAGAAACTTCTATAAAATCCAAAAAACAAAATAGCATCTAAAAGTTATCCACCCAGGCAAACAGATCTTGACCATCCACAAAATTACTGACTAGTCTAACAGTTACCACCCACAGTGATTTATGATTATTGCATCTCATATTCCATCAATGCTTTCAAGTATCTTCTGGCCATATATACCACTGCATTACATCAAGGTTATGACAGAGGAGGTTATCTTTCCAATATGGTAAATCCCAGAAGATACTTTTTTTCTTCCAATTATTTGAACATCCAAACCCTTCAAGTCGACCGATTGGGCCATCAGTAATCTTTGGGAACATCAGTACAGTAGCCAACAATTTTTCCCATGTCCAAATCCTCGGGGGTCTTGACTTCTCTACCCGTTACGTTGTTTGATGAAAGAATCACGATTTTTTCAAAAGGGATGATCCATTGGAAGAAATTGTCGATGACAATCAAACCAACATGTCTTACGCCCATTCTTTAAAGAAAACGATTTAGTATAATGATTGCAATAAGGACATGCTAGTTTTCCTGCGGTTTGCCATCCAGATAACATATCATAAGCTGGAAAGTCATTGATGGTCCACATCAACATAGCTCGCATCATAAAGTTTTGCTTTAACAAGACATCATAAGTTAAAACTCATGTCTCCCATAGCAATTGCAGCTCATCGATTAAAGGTTGTAGTTACACATCAATATTGGTCTTTGGGTTGTGCTCCCCAAGAATAATACAAGTTAAGAATGTATATGTGAGAGTCATGCACATTGAAGGTGGAAGATTATACGGAACAACCATAACTGGCCAACAAGAATATGATTTAGCGTTTAAACCAAATGGATAAAAGCCATCAGCACACAAACCTAATTTGACATTACGAGGATCTAATACAAAGTCAGGATATTGACTATATATCAAATTATTTCCATGCCTCACCATCGGAAGGATGACACATGACACCTGGTTGGCGACGATTTTCATAATGCCATCTCATTTGCTCAGCAGAACTAGGTGATGCATACAATCGCTGCAATCTAGGGATGAGAGGCAAGTAATGCATCCTTTTCTTGTGCACTTCTTTCCTACGAGTACAATTAGGTGGACGTTGATGTTCTTGTTGTGTTGCCTCATGAACGGTAGACCGTTAGCCATAGTTTGTCCCATACTTACTTAGAACCCTAGATGGAATATTGTTGTCTCTTGAGCAGTATGAGTACTGTATCTTTATGTGTTATATAATCAATATCCTGAATCCCATCAATCCATGTTTATACTAGGCACAGAGTCTGGTTGAATAACAACTTCTAGTTATTCAATCCAACTAGACCACTTAATAAGCCTAGTCAACTTGCACCACTTAAGGCCCTAATATATAATATATAATATATAATATATATTATTAGGGAAAATCTTACACCCCACCCCTGAAATTTCTGTCCCGGAACCTGAAGTTCCCGAAGCTTCGGAAGTTCTAATGCCGGACCCTGACGTTCCGGTGTCGGACATCCATAAGTCTGGGTCTACTTATGGATATTCGGCACCGGAACTTCAGGTTCCGGCACTGAAACTTCTAGGGCTTCGGGGACCTGAGGAACCAGGTCTTCAGGTCCGGCACGGGAACGTCAGGGTAGGGGAGTTCAGGAATAGGGACATACGGGAGTTCGGGGGTAGGAACTTGGGGACTGGGAACGCCTACGATGTGTACTCAGCGGGCATACAGCTACTGGGACGTCTGCCATTGAGACTTGGGACTCAATTCTCCGGGGCAGAACCAGAAGGTGAGGGTATGGAACATATATACTTCTTGCGTTCTCCTTCCTTCTCGCTGGGATTCTTCAACTCACTGCTATCTGGAAGTGATTTTGCGTTCTTTATATGGCTTGGTTTGCAGGTTGTGTGTCCACCGGAGGGGTTGAGTTGGGAAGATTGGTTGGCTCATGTGTTGTGTATGCTTGGTGAAGATTGATCTCACAGAATTAATGGCAAATGGATTGCATGCATGCGTTATGGATGGTACGCAACACTGCAGTCTTCGAGTCCCAGGCTTACAAGGAGGCTCTCTCTTGGATTAAGGATAAAGGATTAATTAATGTGAACTTTAAGTCGGACTTTTAGCTAGGTTCTTTATACGAATATGATTAGACGTGCTTCTTTTAACTCATAAATTATTGGTTATTTTTGTGATGCCTGTTCTTCCTTGTTTAGTTTTCTTGGTTTATGTCACTTTAGTTCAGTGCAACTAGAACGTTTGGGATGTGAAGATTGGAGTTGCACTCTCGTGGGCTGTGAACTGGAACCGGAGCAAAACGCTTGAAGATGGGAAAACGGCCACTATGTGTACTCAGTGACGGGAATGTCTGCCATTGAGACATGGGGACTCAAATCTCCCGGGCTTGGAACCGGAAGGTGAGGGTACGCGAATGGGAGTGCGCGTGAGTGAACAATAGGGATGTAAACATTAGGAAGTAAAATCAAGAAGGAAAAATAACATTATTCTTAAATTAATAGAGTAAAAGATTATCCTGAGGTGAACTAAAAAAGAAAAGTAGGATAGAGTAAGCAACATTGTTTTCTTTTTTATTTCTACTGTAAATATTAAAGTCAGAATGTGGAATGGGGAGGAGATTTCTTAAAGGAATTTGGGAGGAGATTTCCTAAGGAATTTAGGAGGAGATTTCCTAAGGAACTTGGGAGGAGGTTTTCCTAAGGGACTTGGGAGGAGGTTTCCTAAGGAACTTGGGAGGAGGTTTCCTAAGGCACTGGGGAGGAGGTTTGCCTAAGGGGAAAAGCATGGGGCTAATTCTGAGCATATGTTTTGGAGAAAACTTGCTGGGAAAGAAATAGCATTAAATGCTTGGAATCTCTAGGCACATGGGTTCTAGCTTAGAAAATTCTAGACTCATGGATTGCTATAAATAAGGAAACATCCTTCATTCATCAGATCATCCCAACCCATCTCATCTCATTCGAAATATACAGAGAGTATATCAAAATTCTGTAGAGAGAAAATAGGGAGTTATATTTGTAATTCCTATTGTATTATCCTTTTGCCAATACAGAAAAATTCTTCTTCAATTTGCCTTGTTATGTGTATGATTTATTTTAAAATCTTACACTAGAATTTATTGTCAATATTTCCAGTTCAAGTTGCTATTGTAAATTTGGTGTTGTGAACCTGTTTCGATCCTAACAAGTGGTATCGGAGGCTCAGGAATTGAACCAAGAACACCACTTACAATGGCGACAAATTATGAGATTGAAAAGTTTAAAGGGAACAATTTCTCTTTGTGGAAAATGAGAATGAAAGCAGTTCTCAGGAAAGATAACTGTGTAACAGCAATTGAAGAAAGACCAGCCGATTTCACTGACGATGCGAAGTGGATAGAAATGGATAGCAACGCTATTGCCAATCTGCACTTAGCACTTGCTGATGAAGTTTTGTCAAGTGTGGAGGAAAAAGGTACGGCAAAATAGGTAAGGGATACTCTCGTAAATCTGTATGAGGCCAAATCACTGCACAACAAGATCTTCTTGAAGAGGAAATTATACACTCTCAGGATGATGGAGACATCCTCAGTAACTGAGCATATCAACACTCTCAACACTCTATTTACACAACTCTCGGCGTTGATTTATAAAATAGAAGTGAATGAACATGCTGAAATCTTACTCCACAGTCTACCGGATTCATATGATCAATTCACTATCAATTTGGTCAACAAGAAAGTCGGCGCAAAAACAAAGAAGACAAAGTTGGAATTTCAAAACAATCTCAGGCGTTGATAGTGATGAGAGGAAGATCAACGGAGCCTGGCTCCAGTTGGAGTCGCAACCGAGGTAGATCAAAGTCAAGGGGTAAGAAGAATGTCAAGTGTTTTCACTGTGGCAAAAAGGGGCACTATAAGAGTGAGTGTTGGTAACTCAAGAAAGATGAGACCAAAGGCAAGAATCCCAAGACATCAAATGCTCAGGGATGTGTTGTGAGTACATTGGATGAATGCGAAGTTTTATTTGGTGAAGCAGCAACGATTGTTGAAGGCATGAAAAGTTTAGTTGATGTCTGGCTAATGGGCTCGGGAGCAACATGGCATATGACCTCACGGAAAGAATGCCTTCATGAATATGAACCTGTCTCTGGAGGATCTGTGTTTATGGGAGATAACCATGCCTTAGAGATTGCTGGTATTGGTACTATTAAACTAAAAATGTTTGATGGTACGGTTCGCACTATCCAAGAGGTACGACACGTGAAAGGCCTAAAGAAAAATCTATTGTCTTTAGGACAATTAGATAGCCGTGAATGTAAAATTCCCATTCGGGATGGGATCATCAAAGTAATCAAGGGCGCGCTTGTTGTGATGAAAGCTGAGAAGATAGCAGCCAATCTATACATGCTTAAAGGAGAAACACAACTACAAGGAGAAGCAGCCGTTGCAGCAGACAATCTTATAGATGAATCAACGATGATGTGGCATCAAAAACTTGGCCACATATCGAAACGAGGTCTAAAGATTCTTGCTGATCACCATCTTCTTCCAGGGCTAACAAAGGTTTCATTACCTTTTCGTGAGCATTGTGTTACAAGTAAGCAGCATAGATTGAAGTTCGAGAGCTCTAAAGCAAAGAGCAAGGCTATCTTGGAGCTAATCCACTCCGATGTTTGGCAAGCACCAGTTATATCCCTAGTAGGTGCAAAATATTTTGTATCCTTCATCGACGACTACTCAAGGAGATGTTGGTGTATCCAATCAAGCGGAAGGCGGATGTATTTGAAGTTTTCAAATTCTTCAAAGCGCGTGTGGAACTTGAATTCGAGAAACGGAGCAAGTGTTTGAGGTCGGACAATGGAGGAGAATACACTAGTGATGAATTTGATAAATTCTGTTTGCAAGAAGGTATCAAACGACAGTTCACAGCGGCGTATACTCCACAACAAAATGGAGTGGCAGAGCGGATGAACAGAACCTTACTGGAAATAACAAGTGCAATGTTGAGGACTGCAAATTTGGCAAATTCATTTTGGGCTGAAGCAGTCAAAACCGCCTGTTATGTGATCAATAGGTCACCATCAACCGCAATTGATCTGAAAACGCCAATGGAAATGTGAACGGGTAAGCCATCTAGTTATTCTCACTTACATACATTTAGGAGTCCGGCATATGTGATATACAACGCTCAAGAAACATCAAAACTTGATCCAAAATCAAGAAAATGTGTTTTCTTGGGGTATGCTGATGGTATGAAGGGGTATCGCCTGTGGGATCCCACTGCCCACAAGGTTATCATCAGCAGGGATGTTCTATTTGTAGAAGACAAGGTACAAGAAATGGAAAGCATTGGGAAGGAGAAACCAGTGACAACTACAGTACAAGTTGAGGGAAGGAAGGAAGAAGAAATTCCAGTTTCCACTGAGTGTGCTGTGTACGACTTGTATCTTGAGCAGTTGGATGTGAAAACTGCATCGCTACATGGAGAACATGAAGAAGAAATTTTTATGCTCCAACCAGGAGGTTTTGAAGAAAAAGGAAAAGGGGACTTGGTTTGCAGGTTGACCAAATCTCTGTACGGTCTCAAACAGGTGCCGAGATGTTGGTATAAGAGATTTGATTCATTCATTCTGAGCCTTGGATACAACAGGTTTAATTCCGATCCTTGCGCATATTGCAAAAGATTTGATGATAATCAGTTTATCATCTTGCTGTTGTATGTTGACGACATGTTGGTAGTAGGCCCCAACAATGATCGTATCACGGAGATGAAGGCTCAACTGGCTAGGGAATTTGAAATGAAGGACTTAGGATCAGCAAACAAGATTCTAGGGATGCAAATTCACCGAGACAGAAATAATAGGAAGATTTCGCTTTCTCAGCAGAATTATCTGAAGAAAATCTTGCGGCGCTTCAACATGAAAGATTGTTAGCCAATTTCTACCCCTCTTTCTATTAATTTCAATTTATCCTCAACTATGTGTCCTAGCAACGAAGCAGAGAGGATGGAGATGCCTCGAGTACCGTATGCATCAGCAGTTGGCAGTTTAATGTTTGCTATGATCTGCACTACACCAGACATTGCATAGGCAGTTGGAGCGGTCAGTCGATACATGGCGAATCCTGGTAGAGAGCATTGGAGTGTTGTGAAGAGGATCCTGAGATATATCAAGGGTACCTCAGATATTGCATTGTGTTATGGAGGATCAGACTTCGTCATTAAAGGCTATGTTGATTCAGATTATGCAAGTAATCTTGATTGTAGTAAATCCACCACGGGTTATGTGTTTACTCTTGTTGGTGGAGCAGTAAGTTGGGTCTCAAAGTTGCAGTTGGTTGTGGCAACTTCAACGACGGAAGCAGAATATATTGCGGCTACTCAAGCTAGTAAAGAAGCAATATTGTTGCAAATGCTATTGGAGGAGCTCGGGCACAAATTAGAGAAAATGACTCTATTTTGTGACAGTTAGAGCGCTTTGTACCTGACAAAGAATCCAGCATTTCATTCGAAGACGAAACACATACTAGTTCAGTATCACTTTGTTCGTGAGAAGGTGGAAGAAGGAAGTGTGGATATACAGAAAATCCATACTAAAGATAACCTAGAAGATATGTTAACAAAGCCTGTTACCAACGATAAATTCGTATGGTGTAGATCCTAAATTGGCCTAACAGGAATGCAAGCAGCAGTGGGATTGGCAAAAAGGATGAAGACCCACATTATGACTTTTAAGTGGGTGATTTGTAAATATTAAAGTCAGAATGTGGAATGGGGAGGAGATTTCCTAAAGGAATTTGGGAGGAGATTTCCTAAGGAATTTAGGAGGAGATTTCCTAAGGGACTTGGGAGGAGGTTTCCTAAGGGACTTGGGAGGAGGTTTGCCCTAAGGGGAAAAGCATGGGGCTAATTCTGAGCATATGCTTTGGAGAAAACTTGCAGGGAAAGAAATAACATTAAATGCTTGGAATCTCTAGGCACATGGGTTCTAGCTTGGAAAATTCTAGACTCATGGATTGCTATAAATAAGGAAACATCCTTCATTAATCAGATCATCCCATCCCATCCCATCCCATCCGAAAATTTCCAGTAGCATAGCAAATTCTGTAGAGAGAAAATAGAGAGTTATATTTGTAATTCCTATTGTATTATCCTTTTTCCAATACAGAAAAAATTATTCTTTAAATTGCCTTGTTCTGTGTATGATTTATTTTAAATCTTACACTAGAATTTATTCTCAATATTTTCAGTTCAAGTTGCTATTGTAAATTTGGTGTTGTGAACCCGTTTCGATCCTAACATGTACATTATATTGTCGAATTGAAAAAACTATTTTCCGTTCAAATTTGAAAATAAAGATGAAAACATAAAACACATAAGTCGGCCGAGTGAATATCAATTCTTTGATTGTTTAATTATGACGACAATCAATTCAATCATCTTTCACCATTTTGCTTTGTCTTTTAGCTCCGATCCGATCCTTTCCTTCCCCGGTAACCACTACATAGATCGAACACATAGGCATGGTGATGCAGGATGAGTAGTGGCAAGAATTTGATTGTCTGTTTGGTAATTACCAGGCCAGACCAGCTCCCCTTTCATGCTATTTCACCAACAGTCAGAAATGGTTTCATTTCTTTCAGAACAGACACCAACTCGACCAGAATATAGCCTGCCAGGCTTTCTAGATCATCAAACAATGGCCGGATAAAGGTGTCAAAGTCGTTGGTGTATTCCAACAGAGCAAAAGCACCATTAACAATGTTGTTGGTGAGGTCCATGTATCCCTGATAAATCCCACAACTTAACACAACCCATTCTGCTTCTTCCTCACTGCAACCACATTCAGTGATCTTATTGATTGTTGTCCAGGAAGCTTCTTTTATAAGAGGAATTAAGAGTTTTTGGAGCTCAACTGCCATGGGATAATCCCATTCAGCCAGTTGTTGTGAGCTTTCTCCTCTCGTTTGTTCAACATTACACACCTCAGGTCTCTGGTTCAGAGACTGAAGCTCGTTCAACTCTACAGAAGATGAAGCTGGTATATCCTTGGCAGTGTCTGATGGAAACTGTTGGTCCCAAAAGAGGTAAGGTGAAAGTCTAGAGGGGGGGGGGGGGGGTGAATAGACTTTCAAACTTTTTCGCACAGCACAACAATTGTTAATCCAGAGATAAACCAAAACTCTTAACTAGATTGTTAGAGTATGGTGCACAGCGGAATTAAATAATGATAAAGTGTGTGTGAGATTGTGATAGATATATCTCGTGTAGAGCAAGTAAAGAGCAGTAAGTAAAGAAAGCAGTAAAGAACACAAGACAATTGGTTAAAGTACCTACGAGGTCCCTGTACTATAGCGTTTTATTCAATTTAGTCCTTATACTTTTATTTTGTTCAATTAAGTCCCTGTACTTTTAAAAGTGGTGCAATTAAGGACAATAGTTAACAATGTTAATATTATCGTTAACTTAGGTTACGTGACGCTAATGATATTTGTATTCCTACTCATATATTACTTTAAAAATATTTAAAAATTTTATTTTTACCACCAATATATTAAATTAGTATGCCCAAAATAAATAATTACGACCATGTTCGTAATGAGATTTGGATAATTGTCCTTAGTTTTATCACTTTTTAAAGTAGAGGGACTAAATTAAACAGAATTACAGTACAAGGACTAAATTGAACAAAACACTATAGTACAGGGACTTCATAGGTACTTTGACCCAAGACAATTATAGTGGTTCGCGAGGTGGTGTAACCCTCCTACTCCACTTGCTCTTATCTCCAAGAGCAATTAACTATATCCACCACTTCTTGGTTCCAAGATACAATGAATTTCCTTGATCTAGTGCTTTGATCACAAAGCCCGCACTAATCACGCCCAGTGACACCACACTGCTGCTTCGGGTTTCACGTCGCCGCGCTACTATCCTAGGATTTCACGACTCCGCGTTACTTTCCCCCCGTCTTCCACACTCCGGTAGAAACGTATCCCGTGATCTAGTGCTTTGATCACAAAGCCCGCACTAATCACGCCCAGTGCCTCCGACACTGCTGCTTCGGATCTCACAGCTCCGTGTGACAATCCAGGATTTCACAGCTCCGTGCTACTTTCCTCCCTTTTCTTGTTTTGCTCCAAAACAAGTGTTGTCTTGCTTCCAACTTCGAGACTCTGTAGTTGATCTTCAATGATGCGCAAGTCTCTTTGATGAAGGTGAAACACTTTGGAATGATTTCTCTTGAATGCTCTCTGAGTGTTTTCTCTCTTTGAGTGTATCAAGTAAAGCACTTGATTTTTATGCTCTGTTTTGCTCTGTTTAAGAACTCTCAGAATATTTTCTTTGAAGCTCTCTGAGTTCTTTTTCTTTTCTCACTTCTCACTTGAAGATTTTTGGTATGCTCTGTACCAAATGAGATTTTTGCTCTTTGCTCGTATATCTTGCTCTATTCGTTCCCCTGATCTTCAAGTCTTCATATCTTCATCATTTTATAGCTGGTAATGAGAACCTGCCCGTTGGAAAGAGACGATATCATTTTTGAAATGTTGTATATTTTGTCCGAGATCTTATCTTATCTTCTGCATAGTGTCAGAAGAGATAAGCTTGCCGTTGTTAGAGCTTCAACTTCTTGCAAATGAGTACCCAAACTTCATCTGATATTCCTCTGGTTTTCTCACTTTTCTTGGAAATATCTGGGTCTCAGTTTTGTGTAGAATGGCTTCTCTGATCAGCTCTGAAGTGGTTCTTGGGATTTAAATACTTCAAAAATATTCTTCAATTTAATCCCATACTAGTTAGACTAGTATTTTTCCTTGTGAGAATATTTTCACTGTAAGTTTTTCTTCATCTTCTTCATTCTCACATCTGGGTGTTTTCAGACTTCAAATTGGTTTTGAACTTCCTCCCAATTTGAATTTCAACGTGATCCCTTTTGAAGTGATGTCGAATGTTGATATGTTTGGTTCTTGAGTGAAGCACCGGATTGTGAGTGATAGCGATTGCACTAGTATTATCACAATAAATACTAACGTCATCACAATTAACTCCGTAATCCTTCAATTGTTGCTTCATCCACAAAATTTGCGCACAACAACTTCCTGCAGCAATGTATTCGGCCTCGGCGGTACTAGTTGCTATGGAATTTTGCTTTTTGCTGAACCAAGAAACAAGCCTTCCCCCAAAGAACTGGCATGTCCCGGAAGTGCTTTTTCTGTCTATTTTGCAACCTGCAAAATCCGCATCTGAAAAACCCGTTAGAGTAAAATCTGTACTTTTTGGATACCACAATCCAACATTGATTGTGCCTTTCAGATATCGTGTGATCTTCTTTGTTGCGGTGAGGTGGCTTTCTATTGGATTTGCTTGGAATCTTGCACACACTCCCACAGCATAAGAAATGTCCGGCCTGCTTGCAGTAAGATATAGAAGAGAACCAATCATTCCTCTATATTTTGTTTGATCGACATCCTTTCCATGTTCATCTTTGTCTAGCCTTATTGATGTGCTCATGGAATTTTGATCGAAGATTTTCCATCAAGGCCAAACTTCTTTATTAAGTCGCGGGTGTACTTTGCTTGATTGATGAATATTCCTTCTTTCAGTTGTTTGACTTGTAAGCCCAAGAAGTAATTCAAGTCACCCATCATACTCATTTCGAATTTATTCTGC